AATAGTGAGGGGGAATAAAGAGCGAAATACCTGTAAATAAAAAAAAAATCATACTTACCTTTAGATGTCTTCTTTCTTCTAAAACCTTCTTTTTTCAGCCCCAAAAAATGGCAAATGAAAATCCATAATTCCCGTCAAACCAATCAGAGCACTCCGAGTCAAATTGCCGGGTGTGGGAAGGCTTTATAAGCCACTAGATCGGGGCTATCAGGGGATGTAACTTTATGGGGTTTTAGGTGTTTTTAAGGTACTTTTTGGGGTTTCATAAAATTGTATGTTTTTCTATGCTTGGAGATAATTGGGTTAGATTAGCACAGTTCCTGATACAATTTTCTCCTAAGCACGGAGGAGGGATTCTATTGTTTGTGTATGGGAGTGTCTCACTGTATGACTCTGTTTTTATTGGTTTATTCACTTTGTGTTCCTGTGCCCAACAAGGTCCACCTGGGTGTCAACCTTGTTGGGAAATTTGCATAAAAGGCCAGTGTGCCTCCATTAAAATTCTCTTCCTGCTTACCCTCAACATAGAGTCACATCTCATGTGTAGGGGAAATGGCTGTATCTATCCTGGGGATTGCTATATCACTATACTCCCCAGGAATTATAATCACTAGCTCTTATAAGAGCTGTTCCTGCTACGCTCTCTGAGAGTAGGAGAGGTCTGCTCACTGGAAGCTGGACCGCAGCTGCATCGCTGCAGCTGCGTCGCTGGAAGTGGGGTCTGCAGTGCTTATGGTGTCTGGTGGAGTGCTGGAATCCCTCTGTGAGCACTAGAAGCATCGATTGGTGGAGGCACTCAGTCGGACTGCCAGGCGGTCCGTCATAGTCCCCCTTCCACCCACACACACTGTCACCCTCCCCAAGCACACTGTCACCCTACACATTGTCATGCCCACACATTGTCCCCCTCAAACACAGACACAATGTCACCCTCCTCACACACTGTCACCCTCCCACGCACACTGTCACCCACACACACTGTCACCCTTTTGATTATAGAAAGCAACATTATTTGTTCAGTAAATGTTTTGTACTTAAAGTTCTTTGGTTTATTTTTCATAGTTCTCATTTTTTCAAGTTGACATATAGTTCACAAATTTGTGCATTACATATTCTTGAAAACATGGAAATATTTTGTGTGTGTTTTATTGTACATTTATTTGTTCAGTAAATGTTTTGTACTTAAAGTTATTTAGTTTATTTTTCATAGTTCTCATTTTTTCAAGTTGACATATAGTTCACAAATTTGTGCATTACATATTCTTGAAAACATGGAAATATTTTGTGTGTGTTTTATTGTATTTTTTTACATTTTAAACTTAGGGTAGAGTGCCAAATATAGGATCTGCCCCGGGTCTCAAATGCTCTAGGTATGTCCCTACAATACATAGCAACTGTGCTACATTGCCAAGGTGAATAGAAATAACAAACACCTACAAGGAATTATGTAAAAGTTGCAGAGTTTGGGTGAAAGTGTACCACTCAAGAAAACAATTGATGACTTTACTACCAGCTGTAAATTAATTTGTATATACACACTACATCCACATGGACTTAAAAAGCATGGAGGAAAAAAAGTTGCAAATTCTGTGCATTTTGAAATAGATTTTAATTGGGTTGTACACGCGGACATTGAGAAGGAAAGTGAATATGGAAAATGAAAATGGCGAAATGGGAAAGTAAAATGAAAAGGAAAGAAAACATTGTTTTTGGACACTTTTAGATCTTGTTACTTGGTTTATTTTAACTGTCGTAAGGATGCACTCAACTGCAGAACAAAATAAAAGAAAGAGTATAACATGTGTTGACAAGTTACAGTCAATACATCATTGTATAAAGGGAGGACTTCTAAGGACTTCATGAAAGACTCTGCAAACAACACAAGTCTGTATGATAAATAATTTATTTCTGAGTCAAGAGCAGAATTCCTGATTTTGCTAGATAACTGCAGTGGACCTCTGCCTATCACAAACACAGCATTTGGCTTGTGTCAAATATAGCAAAGTAACCTCCGAGCATCCACAGACATCTTCTCGTGGCTAATGGTCCATGTTTCAACACACAGCAGTCATTTTTTAATGATAAGGATACAAAGTCAAAAGGCATTTCAAATATATTTCCACTTAAATTTTCAACTGTAAAACATGTAGGTAGACAGAGTTCGAAGTGATTCGGTTTCTAAAAATTTATATAAATTATTTCAGTTGACGACAACAAAAGCCTTATGTCAGAAAATAGTTTGTAAGAACATCACAATAAAATAATACATGTGAACTGGCATTTAACAAGAGGAAGAGGTAAAAATGTACTGATTAACAAATGCAATGTGCACAGGTCATCTTCAGCTGCAGCAATTTGCGTGGGTATAAATTATTTAAAGACATTTTCTTTACATGTGCTTGATTTCTTTTGAATCCTTCATCTTGTAGGGAGGACATTTACTTTGTCCGTATGCATAGAGGCAAAAAAAACAAAAAAACTTTCTGTAAACTGCTGCATGTCCATTTCATCTTTGTTTTTGTTTTTATAGCAAATGGAACCAAAGTTTTATATTTGCCAATTTATTAAGAGTGGCATCAAATCCATGTCTAGTTTGCAAGATGTCTAAATTTTAGCACTTTTTCGATTTTGACAAAATATTTAGGGTTTATTTTGTCAAAGACCAAATAAAGTTATTTTGAGTCACAAAAAATATATTACTTTTTAAAAATATTGCTTTGATTTAGGTTGGTTGCCCAACATAAGTTTGTCTAGGTGGTGTAATGATTTACTAATCTAAAATGGTAAAAATATATATTTTGGAGAGTCTGTCCAGCTTATGAGATTTAAACTTCTATGTTTGTATAAAACTAAATACTCCATGTGAGTCAATGACACATCTGTGTCTCATGTCCCCTGCACACTGTGATGGAATTTCATGATGTTAACAGGAGTCCTAATAAATTTCATGAGCAGTTTATGGGATAGTGCCACCTATAAATTGTGTTATAAAATTGAAAATTCTGCAAAATTGAAGGTTGTTTTAAATAATAATTAAAAAAAAAATACTGCTTTTAAATTAATACAAAAATAACTGTCACTTTATTTTTATAATTAATTATACATTAGTATCTCATTTTTTCAGCTAATTTGCATATCATACAGAATTAAACATAGATCATAAAAATAGACCTCGCTGCAACCATATGACACATCTTTAAAAGTTAAATAATGGATAACCCCTTTGACAACTTGACAATATATAACCATTAAGTTCTGTAATAAATTGACAACATATACAATGTTAATAACACAAGCATTACATCAAAGATCAGGAATAGGCAGGAGGCTACTGTTAAACCACAATACCCAAAATTCTCATCAAGCTTACGGTTTGCCTGATGCAGGCTGGTTTTCATAGGAGTTGCATAGCAACATTTGCTAGGAAGCTACCCCTTGCTTTCTTGTACCAAAGGCTATCTTTAGCCGCACAGAGTATGAACTACCTGTAGCCGAAATGAATGTAAATACATCATGTACCCTATCTTTAGAAATCACGTGTCATGCATTTGGAATCCCAAAGCTCTCTCAATGAATGCACTGCCAAGTACTCCCCTTAGATCAATGTCATGAGTGTCCTCAGCCAACATTATACCAGATTCTCAGGACAATACGTGTAATTGTTGGCTGTCTCCAATAAAACCGCGCATCTGGAGTGAATTATCCAAGAACACATTGTACAGCTTTTCAAACATATTCTTAAACAGTTAATCACTTAACACCTCTCAGAAATGAACGACAGACATGACAATTTGAAAGTTACACACCTCATGCTTTCGTACTGTTGAGAAAATCCAATTATCCTTAACACAAATTAATCCCAGAATACGGAACATACGGAGACACACTCCTATATTTGGATTTAGTCTTTGAATGAAGAAGACAAGTGTGGAAACAATTGATTTCTAACACGTTAAACAAACCATTAAAAAGAGAGAAAATTCCTCTCTGTGACTAACAAGTAACGACGTAGCAAAGCTTGGAGTGAGGTGAAGGTCAACAATTATAATGATGGGACCCAAGAGCTGGCAATGGAACCAAAAATCCCATTTACCTTTCAACCACCTGTAATAATGTGTCTACAGTCAGCTGTTGGAAAGTACTGAATTATACGAGGTAGACATTTTCTGCAGATGGTTTTTCATGCACATTAAATCCAAGATTAATATCTTGCCTCTTCTTACCTTGACGTTCGTCCGGAGAGCACAGTAGCAAGCAAAAAACATTGCAGTAAACAGGGAACATAGGGACCCGTATTCAGCCTCTCATTTAGCACGAACCATACATACAATCCTGAACGTATGCTATGAGAAAATAATCCGTTTCTCTGGCAGTTTGAAAAAGCATCGATCTCTGCTGCCTTGACTACAAAAAAAACAGCACTCTGAGGAAAAAGCTTCAAATCTCTCTCCACACCGTAACTATTTCCAATCTAGTCCAACTAGCCAAGAACCAGGCATCACAAAGTAAAATTTCAGCTGCATAAATAATGATAATAAAATTAAATCACGTCAATATTTATAGCATTATTATTTCCCCCTATTCCTTACAGCATTTATCTAAAGGAAATAATCAGAGAGGGTGGGGGAGAGGCAAAATTAGATTATTAATGTGAGAAATTGTGATGTAACAAGAACATTCCTCTTAGTTCTGATGGGCTTTGATGTTTCTTTGGTAAATATTTTACAATTCTAATTAATTTTGCATGCAGAAAGTGTGCAGAGCATCCATTTTTTTCTCTCTCCTAAGATGTATTTCAAGCACTGCAATTTATTTCGTACTCTTAAAGTGGCAAAACCCTCTCAACAATGAGTTCGTTCCACAAGCTGTGACTAATTCCTTCTCTTCCAGCTACTAACACATCATTTGCTTAAGGGCAACAGATTGTTATCCTATTTATATTTGCTACTGACTGTCACAGAGTACTTTTTCTGTTTTTATATGCATTATTTGAACCATCTTTCTTTACAATTAAAAGCACAACAAAAGAATTCTACGCATTTCAAAAACAAAACGGCTATCTCCAGCAACTGACTGACTGAAGATAACATGAATGCATATTTTAAAGAAAAATGTACTGCTTAAGAATTATGTAGATAATTCATTTAGATTTTTTTCTTTTACCCACGTTAGTGTTCTCTCTAATTTGACACATTAAGCAAAAAATACATACTACAGACACAGTACTTTTTAATTTAGAAGGTCTGTTCAATAAATTTTGAATTTACTCTTAAATATATTCTGATGTAATATTGTAAGATAAACATTTCAAATGATTTGATGTTTTTAAAATTATCTAGTAATGTGAATAATATTGTAATTTTTTATTTTTTTTCATAGATTGATTTTTTTAATACATGATATAGTTTCAATATTTTGAAAAAAAAAAAAAGCATTTTAATAATATATCCAAATATATTAAATTATATTTGAAAAGCTTATCCAGCGATATTGAATCAAGGTTTAAAAATGTACCAATATTTTAAACTGTGGTGAGTTCAAGGCTATACATTTCTGCATTGTAACTTCTTCTATGGAGATTTCCCCCAAATTGAACTTCACTGAAGTCTGTGATGGCACAGAAATGTAAAAGGTTAATGATTAGAAAATTCACAAAGTATTTGGAGGCCATAAGGTGTTCTTTTCTATTTCTAACTGTGAATAATACTTAGAGGAGAGAACATAAATGCAACAAAAGAGATTCATACGGTCAAGTTTAATCAACCAACCAATCTAGGTCTTACTTAACTTCGAACAAACCCCATACATTAATCATAGTGCATTGACAAAAGTGCATGTTTATGGACAAGATGTGTCACTCTAGTGATTATACACCTCCTGGAAAAAAAATCTTTAAGGGTTTGTGAATGTGACAATGCTGAACTTTTAACATTTAACTTTTTAGCTATTCTGTTCTAACATAACCTCCTTGCCACCATCTCCATACCTGCTCAAGGCCCCTGCAATGTTGGATGCTTTGATGCTCTGACTATTTATGATTGTTTTTCTGATGTCCACTTGATAAAGCCTAAGGGCGAAACGCATTGTGGTTTTTTAACATTACAATATTGTTTTAATAAAGGTATTTTGGACACTTTCTTACTGTGAGTTAGCCATTTAACTTTTTTATTCTTTTACTTTTTTACTATTACCATCCTTTTTATCTGGTACCAGAAGTGTTTTACTTTCCAGTGAGGATATTACTCCAAAGAATCCTAGGTGGGGATTATACCGCTCAAGCTGTATTCATTGAGCAGTTAGTCTGCTCAATCAAATGTGAGTAACCACTTGGTATTTTATTTTCTCACCTCTGGCATTTTATACTTTGAGCACTATTGCTATTTATACTTTGAGCACTATTGCTGTCCCTTTTTATTCCACATATTGCTGTCCCTTTTTATTCCTTTTTATTCCCTAATCAAGCAAGAATACAAAGATCTCATGTATCCCATAAGTGGGGATTGTACCACTGTACGCTATCAACACTAGAGCTAAGTGCATAGCTCTATAAAACGTGAGTAGGACCATATATCTTTTATTTGCATTTTACCCCTTTTGGGACATACTACACCATCAGTTGTTATTTTTATCTATTTCATATGAACTACAAAGACATATTTATATCACTCTGAAGAATTAATCTACTATAAAAGACTGTACCCCCTTCCACAAAGAAACACCTTGGTGCTGGACTCATCCACCAAATAGACTATCTACCCTGGACCTTTGAGTTTCTATTCATTTATTCTCTGTTAGCATTTTATTTATATATTTTTTATTTCTTTTGGTGTTTAGTGGCGCTACCTTTTCCATATTTGTTTGTATTTATGATTGTGGTTAGTGGTGGCTTTTGTACCTTTTGCTTGTTTAGTGATGTCCCTTGCTTTCTTCTCCTACATCAATTTATGATGATCTGCATATTTTATGCTCCAGTGCTTTCTTCCACAATAAAATAAATAAAGGCCAATGTTCAGGGTCTATACCACATGTTTTTGCTCATGCCATGGTTCCCCGTCAGTGTGTTTGCTTTTTGTGTGCTCCTGCAGTAGTTTTGGTAGCCATTGTCCTTTGTTGACCATGGCTGTTTTAATCGTCTATGCTCCTTGCTGAGCACACCAGTGTTTTGGCTTAATTCTGACAATATCAGTATCACTGACCTAGGTAGACATTTTATATTCGGTCATTAGGTAGTACTTTTATATTCGGTCATTTGATCTCTTTCTTTGACTTTGAAGGTTTCAAATTAAGCCTGGCCAATTCATAAGGACTGATAATACACTTTATTCTCATTTACATTTCCTTGTTAGTATTACACCACAACACATTGAGGTTAAATCCATAGCAGACAGTTCTACAGTGTAATGTTTTTAAAAACATTTTGAGTGGATTGCCCCAAAAAAAAAAGAAGCTTCCCCAAAATCCCCATCATGTCCCCTGTGCAGCTGCTCTGTAAATGTGGGAACTTGATTTCCATGTTATTCATTGCGATTTTGCCTGGAGGTGATGGCAAGGATATGCTATGAGTCTTTGGAATGGGTTTATTGTCTTCACAAATCTGTAGTACATAAGCCCACTAGGGGCTGCTACTAGTTTATTGTCATACATAGCTTTTCTGGTAAGGTGGCAGGCCAGAATGGTTGAGGATCTGACAGTGTATCAGAGCAGATCAGTGGTTGGAATTGTAATATGCAAACATTTTATTTTTGCTGTGTGGATCACTTATTTGAGTTAAGATTTAGTTTGCGCACTTTTTAAAGCAGCTCCATAATATTTTATAGAATTTATTGAAACATTTACACATCAAACAAACCCCTTTTAAGAACTTATTACCAGGACTTTCTAATAACTGATTTAATTCCATACTTTGAGAGCAAAGCTGTTAACCAGATTTTCATTAGACCATGTAACGGATCACCTGGCACCCTGACTGGGTACCTCCGTTGATGGATGCTCCTAGCGCTTCTTGAGGATTCCAAGCACTCTAGCCGACACCACAACCACCGCAGGCCGAACCTCTCTTCCTTCAGAGTGAAGCAGGAACAAGCTCTTACAAGAGCTTAGTAGTGATTTTGCAAGGGAGTAGCAATCCCTTGTAGCAGATTCCCCCAATAAGAGACAGGACTCTAAATTGAGGGTGAAGTAGATCTGTCTAAAACTTTATTTTACTTGGGACTAGCCCATATGGTCATTACATTAACATTGCTGTGAAAAGCCAATAAAATTACAAACAGTCAAATTATAGCAGGCAACATACAGTGACTTATTATAACATAATTACATTTATAAATGGGTGGGGAAGACCATAATTAACACAAAATGTCTCTCCTGCATGCAGAATTAGCTATTTGCAAATTTACCCGAATATGCAAATTACCAGTCTTGCTATTCATGTAGTGCATATTACTGTTGCTACCAACAGAGGGCACTACACAAGCTCCATAGCCAAATCCACCTAGTTGGTAGCAATCCTCAGCAGTACAGGAGAGCAGGCAATACATCCCAAGGGCCATAGTCACATGGCAGGAGGCTGGCAATCAGTTTTCTCCAATGCCCAGTGGCGGGGCTGGTTCCGCCACAGACCAGCATACATATTATCAATTATGTTTTAATTTTTAATCTCCTGAAGAGCCAGAAAAATGACGATGAACAAGAGCTGTCAGATAAAATATCGTATACATTAATAAATCATTAAAATTGTTTCAGTTTGATCTCCTACCCTCGAAATGGCAACCTTTGCAAATTTATAATCATCAGAATTAAGTTATAATTACATTAAAAATTCAACTTCGACAAACCAAAGAGCTGAATTGCTGACCTGAATATTAGACAGCACAGGCTTAAAATCTCATGTTTAATTCCATCACTTCATCTTAGCTAACTGCAGTATTTACAAGAAGCCATGCTATCATTCAATTCAGATACCTTTTAATCTACCGCAAAGTAACCAATCATAACACATAGTTTGTCCACTGGGATCTATGTTTCGATCAGATAACGTTATGCATTGATGCTATCGGGGTGGTGGGCAAATATGTCTAGAGAAAAAAAGCAAATATTGAAATATTGTATCTTACGGGAATTTTAGTGTTTAAACCTATAAATGATGATAAAAAGGCAGTAGACCATGTTTAATTGCATGCAAAATTGGCAAGCTCTAAAGAATATTTTTTGAAAAGTTTTTGTAATTTTTTATGGGATTGTCTAAATAATTAATCCATGCATTTATTATTGTTCATGAAAACATAGCAATTACCAACTAAGCATTATCTGATTTAGAGTGATAAGCTGATGTGTTAAGATAGATGATGGACCCGTGCATTGTATAAAAATTTGGTCCTGCCAAATCGATTTTTCTAAAAAAAAAAAAAAAATTGTTCAGGTGGACCAAATTTCCATCTGGTGTTTCAGAATGGCCAAAAGGGCATGACAATGGGTCAATCAGTTTAATGCAAAATATATAAATATAATATAAATATAATGTATATACTTTGCAGTAAAAAACAAAAATCTACATGTATTGATTTATATGTATATATTTATTCAATACATAATATGTAAATATAAATGTTTTTACTGCTTCTCCTTTCTTCCCTCTGTTGGTCATTTCTCACTTCATCTGTGAATAAAATAATCATTTAGCGGCTTTCCCCTGACCATCAATCAACTTTTTTTTTTTCATCAATCATATTATGATTTTTTGGGGGGCGCCAAAGGCGGAACTCCGAATGCGGAATCAAATAAGACTGTTAATTTTTGTTCAATATCAGTTATCTAGTTATTTCGTTATATGGCGATTCGGAGTTATGTCAAATTGATTCTGACTGATTGCAATTCGTTTGAAACTGAATGTGCAAGTTTAATGGATGACAAGGAGCACAGTGTTACCCCAATACACTTACGCAGGACTCGTCTTGGAAGAGGAATTGGTATTTTTACTTTTCAGTGATTGTATAGTAACACATACTATGAAGACTATCACATACTGAAATTTAGTGTTTCCCAATCTAGCATCCACTGTACAACTGAATTAAATTAATGTGACACTTCAAGATCAATAAGGGCTTTATTTCCCCTTTTTATGAGTAAAATGGAAATGGGAATTAATTCCAATTAGGGTTTTTAATCCTTCTCTCGGACCAGCAATGTGAACAGATGTGTGAAAGGGTGAACCTG